CAGCCCAGAAAACTATGTACTTTCATAAAATGAGGCACTAGGAAAATCAGGTTTCAAATATGGGAGCAATTGACATAAGCCACATGTAACTATTCCACAAATTCTTTCTAAGATAGGGTCAGGAATTTTTTTTTTCAACCAAAAACAAGAAACTTTGGGAAAATGTTAAAGTACACAAGCCAGTACAGAAAATTTAATTTGAAGGTTTAGGTTTTTACAGAGACCAATAGAAAAATGATAAGGAGTCTTCCATCTCTATAGAAGAAAAATACTTTTTACAATAAATTAACACTTGTTCACTCAACAGATATTTACCAAGTTTATGGTTTTTGAGGACATTGCTGTTAAAATGTCAAAATCATTTCATTTTTACAACCCTAAAAAGACTATCAATATGTGGCACTTACCCAGTAGGCAAGGCAGATGTATGCCCACAGAGTCTGAACTATCCCTTAGGCCTCTTACCCAAGTTGCAGGCAAAGCCCTCTGAGTTTTAGACTAACTTCGGTGAATGAAGGTTCTGATAAACCTGCCTTTCACTGAATGAACACACACAATTAAGCTAGGCTCACCAAAGAGTATTAAGCATAGTGCTTGCTGGTATAGACTGTTAAGCGGCCCTCACTGGTCCTCAAGTGAGGCATTCAGCATTTCTGTCTGGGCAACTTGGCGTTCACTGCTCTTCTTTTTTTGAAAGGCCTCTTAGTATTGCTACTCTTCAACACAGCACTAAACAAATAATTGATTCATGAATTAAACAATCTCCAGGTAATAAAACTGTGATAGGTGTTTCAGCATGGCTGTTTCCAGAGATCAAAACCCAATTCTTTTGCTGACAGGGGATGGTTTTAGGATGTGCACTCAGTGAACAGGAGTGAGGGGCTGTAAGCAGAAAGAGGGAAACAGGGACTGTCCGTCAGGGGTCTCCCCTGTGGACACTGGGGACTGGTCCTCTTGGTGAACAGAATGGCCTTCCCAAGCATCCGTCCCAAGGATGGAAGAAGAATAGCCCAGCCTGCTCTCGGCAGCGGCAGTGAGGTGTTACAGCACGTGCTCCAGGACTAAGTGATCCTGACTTCAGGGATGCTCTGGGGTGCAAAGCAAGACATCTGTGGAGTGTGGCTGAGGAGAGCCGCCTCAGCTTACACTGCCTGGAGCTGAGATAAAACACACGCACGAGGCTGGACGGGAGGCTGCATAATGTGCCAGGCATGCTAGATTAGTAGAAAGAAACAGCTCTAGAAAATAGTTTCAAAGCACTACAACACCAGTGCAGAAAACTGCTGGGGATTTGTTTAGATCTGATGATCACTTTCCTTCACCCCCTGGAAACGTACCTATTAATCACTGCCAGCTGTTATCAGGGCTCTTGACCAAAGTCCTGGCAACAGAATGTGGACTGTGCCTCGCTCTGATTTGGTACTCTTAGCTCACTCCTCACCTAGATGACTCATTAATTAGATTATTTGTGCGTATACTTTGCCCAGTAAACTTGACTGCAAACTCCTTGTGAATGAGAGGTGGCGTCTTACTGTTCATTGGCTCCATTCCCTCGGGCCTGGCATGACACCATATTGATCATGGGGCCATGGGAAACCCAAACTTTCACACTGGCTGGGAAAGTCACACCTGGTGATAAGCAGGTAGCAAGTTTATTTATTTATTTATTTATTTTTGGTTTTTCTCCGGTACTGGGAACCGAACTCACAACCTTGCACTTGCCAGGCAGGTGCTTTGCCGCTGAGCTAAATCCCCAGCCCCGGTAGCAAGTTTATAGTATATTAAGTCTTTATTTCTTATTATGAGGTAAGACTTTAATATTTTTGGTTTGCAAATGATTACAGAGAAAATACTGCTGGTTTGAATACCTTAGCACTAAATTACACTGGAACAATTGCAGTATTTGCAGGGTGGGTAGATCAACTTCAGATCAAGCTGATCTTCTTCAGTGATTTGCTTGTTCTATTTTCAAATCTCTTAATCAAGAGACTTTCCCTTGGGAGATTATAACATGATATTGGTTGTGTGGACACAGAGTTTCAAGTTTTACACTAAAATTTCCTCATACTTTCACTACCTTTATTTCATATTGTACCACGTTAGGCAAATTCCTGTTTTGCAGTAGAACAAAGAACCTGCATAATAGCACCACAAGTAAATTCTCTAGTCACATTACAGAGCTAAATTTTCAAAAGATTATGAAATGTAACATATAGAAACAACTGCAACTCCATTAAAAGAAGAGAAAGCTTAAATACATAAAAATCCTAAAATGTTGGGGAAAGTAAGTCTTTGAGTTTAAAAAAAATTTTTTGTTTTTCAGGGGGGATTTGGAATTTTGAGACAGGGTTTCACTATGTAGTCCAAGCTGGCCTCAAACTCAATGATCCTCCTACCCCAGCCTTTTGAGCACTGGGATTACAGATATGCGCCAGCATGCCCAGCAATCTTTGACTATTTATTTCATGATTGCTGCTGCTAACCTCTTTTCTTCTGCTACTTAAATAGTTAATATTTTATAATTTGGAATCCAACGAAAACAAAAGATCATCAATGACCATGTAAAAGTAATGCCTAAAGAAGTATGGAAAAAAATTTTATGTTCTGTTTTCCAGAACAGACTTTTGTCTAAAGAAAGATTTAGATCTTTGCTCAATCCAGAAGAATCAGAAAATAAAGTTCACTTTTCAAAGTAAATGAGTACGGGGAGAACACAAGCAAATGTTCAAGTTCACGGGGAGCAATGACCTTCTTGTTTAGTTGTTCCTGTGGCTGTTTATGTTTTTATTGTGGCACAGGTGACCGAATCTAGGGACTCGGAGATATTGGGCAAGAGCTCTGCCACTGAGCTACATCGTCTGCCCACACTGAATTCTGTTGGGTGTGAAACACTGAATAGAGGGAAAAGCTCCAGGAAGACAGGATCGGTGGGAAAAGAGTTAGAAAATTCTAAGGCAGACACAGTAAAACAAATACATTTAAGAAAAAACACTGGAATCAAGGTGATTTTGGTCAGTCAATTACAAGCAAAGAAAGTGATCTGAGACACTGCCCACTGTTTTCTGAATCACTTGTTGAGGTGCCCCAGTTCCTGAAACATTGAGCCTTAGTTAAGGAAACACCTTGCTTCTCTAATAAGTTAATACTTCGAAGAACAGATTATTATCTGCAAACCCGTTTGCCTCATCAAGAGACCGTTACTGTCTTTCCTGAAAAAAGTGACTCTAACCCCTCAGTGATGTAGATCTACAGTACTCCAGGCAACTGTCCCTCACAGCAAGGTATGGGATACATGTTGCTATAATGTTTGTTTTTCAGATGCAGAAACTGAGGCCTAGTGAGATTAAATAACTGCCCAAAGGTCACACAGTATTGGAGCCATGATTCAAACATGGGCCGCTAGGTCCTGGCCTAAGGGGGTTTCTGTTTGAATTTTTTTTTTTTTTTTGGTACTGGAGGTTGAACCTAGAGGTAGCTCTGCACTGAGCTACCTCCCTAGCTCTCTTTCTTTATTTTGAGGTGCGGTCTCATTAAGCCATTAAACTCTCTGGGCTGGCCTGGGCTGGCCTGGGCTGGCCTGGGCTGGGCTGTGCTGGCCTGGGCTAGAACTCCTGCCTCATCCTTCCAGCTTCTCAGAGTGCTGGGATTACAGGCATGAACCACCACTCCCAGCTAGTTCGCAAATCCTATGCTACCTCTCTATAATACTATACTTTCTAGAATGAAGAGCTTCCATATAAAAAAGAAGCTGTAAAGCAACTGGGAAGCTCTGTCTCAAGTGAATTTAGACCTAAGAATGCCTTAGGAGTTAAAGGATCAACTGAGATTGGCCCCACTACCCCATTTGTCTGCCAAATGACTAGGGAAACCGAATGATTCCTAAACCAGCACACTTTTGAGGGAAAGTGTGTCTCAAGTGGGCACTGTTGAGCCATGGACATGTGGGAAGCCAGCCTCTTCAGGAAGCCCTGTCCAGTGGAGGGGAACCCCGCTGGCAGAGTCAGGTGTCCAGTGCCTACTGGGATGCGAAGGCCTGATATCACCTACTCCACGCGGTTTGATTTCAGTGAGAATGTGCCCATAGCAGCCTACACAAATATCCAAACTGCCTGACAGTTATATTTTTAGTGAATAATTAGCAATGAAGTCTGATGAATAGACCTGGGTGTGTACCAGGATGAATCAGCTTCTTTAAACCTGATCAGATCTGGAGCACCGGAAAAACTGAACTTCTAGTCTAGTCTCATAAAATTCATGGCAGACTAAGAACCAGTTTTACCAAGGTACCAAGGTATGTGACACTTGTAAGTCTTGCAGAAGCCAACCCATCTCTTTCCCCGGTGATCTGACTTCATTATACACACTTGGTAGAAAAATACACAAGAAGAGCTGGGGGTGTCGCTTATTGGTAGAGGGCATGATCAGCATGCATGAGGCCCTGGGTTCTATCCTCATCTCTCTCTCTCTCTGTCTCTCTGTCTCTCTGTCTCTCTGTCTCTCTCTCTCTCTCTCTCTCTCTCTCTCACACACACACACACACACACACACACACACACACACACACCACGTCTAAAGAACAGGGAGCTTTTCGGTCATACTTTACATGGCTGAAGTCTATAGTAGCTTGGAAGATATGGTTAAGGTGAAGGGTATAGTTAGTTGTTAATTTCTGGAATTAAAAACTACAAAATGATGTTTAGAAATTAAAGAAAGTTATTTTTGTATAAATAGGTGCATACTGCAAGATGCAAATTTCATTTCAGGGGGATGAAAATGCAATTCTTTCGGAGTTTGTCAGGATCCTACTAAGCTCAGAGTACTTGGCTGGATCACACAGAACACATGAGGAGCAGGAAGTACTACCCTTAAGTTTCTGGCTGTCTACTCCCTATTCAGACAAAGACCCCAAAGGCTGCAGTGATTGAGCGGATTAGTGAGAGCAGAAGGAGAGAAGCCATCTGTTTAAAATAGCCAGTGTGGACAGGGCCATCCTCCCACCCACCCCGGGAAGCCTTCAGGTCACCTTGAAACCAGAGGGCATCATCCTGCACTCACTCTCCAGGCTCGGAGTCAGCCTCCCTGGGACAAGTCACTTTCAGATGCCTTTCTTCCCGGGTAGTATTTTGGTAGGTGAACAATGACCCCTCCTCAGGAAAACAGGGTCTCTCTCCACCTCACCCTTCAGACTCCCCTCTCTACCCACAGAATCGTTTAAAGTAATCTCCACAGTCCAAAAGGATAGAACAGGAAGACAGACTGCGGCTGGCATTCACACACGCAAGCGTTTTCTTCCCAGGACCCTCTCCGGCCTCTCCCGGGGACGTCTGAACTAGCAGTTTGCCTGGACTAAAAGGCAGCGTCAAGAGCCCCTCCCTCATCAAGTCAAAGAAAAGAATGTGAGGCTACACCAAGGGCCAGGAGCCCCCGGCTCATCACTTCCCATCCGAGAGGCTGAGCAGACTGCAAAGAGTACGATCCTGGAGTGATAACCCGGCAAGTTTCCAGAGCAGAGGTCTTGAAACTGGATGACTCTCGGTACCTGCTGACCGAAGATGGTCTGACAAGAATCCATACACATTCGGGAAGGGGCACCGCCCCACCCCGCTCTTGCACAGACAAGAGATTATGAAATAAAACAAAACTAATTATTACTTTTGAAGTCTTTTTTGAGTTCCTACAGTGTGCAATCTTGGTCTTGTTGGGAATGGAACTGACATATGACGGTCTCTCTCTTTCTGCAAAGGGTGTGTATTCGCTTAAATATGGTAGGAATAAAACCTGCTTTACCACGAGAAGAATAGTTAAGCAAATGCCCTGTGGTTTCCAAGACATCTTCGTTTGCTGTTTTACCTTTATGCCAAATACAGTAATGACTTCCTGCCCATTTTAATTTTCTCATATGTAAAGTGGGAATTATAATCCTATTTGTGATTATAGCGAGTATTACATGAAAAAACAGTGACACAGTGTCTGGCATATACCAAGCTGACGATTGACAATACCAGGTTTCAATCCTTTTCTTAAAGCCAAAATCACTGTCGGGTTTGTTTGTTTTTTTTTAAAGACAAAACTGACAGGCCAGAATCATCCCACCTCCTGTGAGCTGGATAAGTATATTTAGATGTCCCCTGGCTGGAACTTCTAGACAAGCGTAGGCTCTATGACCAAGAGTTGGAGCACACAACTGATCCGTCTGCCAAAAATTCTGGTCGAAACTTTTTTAAGTTGGCAGAAAGTTCTTAACACATAGCCCGTGCGCCCTTCTCATATGCCGTCCCTGAGCTACCGCAAGGCTACAGCAAAACCCGCCGGGCTCCCTACCGAAGTCTTGGAGTCCACCCGGAAACGAGACGCCGCTGGAAAGGAACTCGGCGGGACTCGGGCTGGGGTTGAGGGCGCGCGGGCGCGCAGAGTGCGGTCCGCGCCCACCACCCCGGGGTCCTCTCCGCGCGTCCCGCGCCCCCTCCGCGGGCGGCTGTGCTCACCGGGTGCGCTGGGCCGCCGCGCGGCGGCCAAGGGCAGCAGCAGAGGCAGGAGGAGCAGCGGCGACAGCCTCGGCAGCTCGGGGCTCCGGCCGGGGCCGCCCAGGGCCATGGCTCCGCGGGACTCGGGCGCGCTGGGCCGGCGGTGGCAGCTGTTCTCAGAGCGGCGCTGCGTGCGTCCCAGAGGTTGGCGCGTCCTTAACTTTCTTCTTGCATGAGCCCTGCCTAATCGGGGCTTTTAGGGGCACGGAAGCTAACGTGACCTTGGGGAACCACCTTCGTCCTGTCCTGCGGGGCCTCGGGCTGGGAAAGGCGGGTCCTTTGGGCCTGACCCTCTAACAACCTGTGGGCCGGGCTGGGAAAGTTTCTGGGCTGCGCTTCTGGGAAACGCAGCGGCTGAGCGCCCTTTCCCTCGATCCCTTGGGCAGTTTTTGATGGCCCAGGGCTTGCAGGCATCGGTTTACTGCCGCCCCACGAGCCTCTGCCTCCCCGTCCGCCACTCGGGGGCAGTGGATGAGACGCCCGGAGGGACACTGGAGCGCATACCTTTGCCTACGCGCAGCTCTGCTGCCTGGGCATTTTGGAGACGTCCTCACAGGACTTGCATCCTAGGCTGTTTAACCCAAATCCATTTGCTACAGGTGGAGTCTTTTGATCCTTCGCTTCTCTTTCTTGGCTGCGGACGCCCCCAGGGCATGATTCCCGCAGAACTGAAACTAGATAACCCCGAGCCCCCGTGGGGTCTCCATTTCTGTGTCAGGTCAAAGTGGCATTGTGAAGTAGGTAAAATTATGTCTTGGGTGACGCTGTGAAATTGGCAAAGGGTGACCCAGGTGACATTGTGAAGCAGGCAGTGTGTCTCAGTAGGCACTGATTGAGGCCATCTTTTCTCTTCGGTGCCGGTGGTACAAAGCCGAAGAAGAGCATGCCCTCCAACAGGCAAAAAGAGACAAAGCCCTAGTGTTTACAGTAAAAGAGCTATGCTTAAAGTGTGGTGGAGGTGGTCAGGAGTGGACAAGCCACCACGCAGCCCGAGCTTTTCTCTTGGCATTTCTTCTACACTTTCCTGAGGTGTCAGGAGACATAGAAACTAGGAGAAGAATTCCTAGAGAGAGGAATACAAGTTGTTACAGAAAAATATGCAATGTTTAGTTGTTGTTTTTATTTTAAAGCATTACTGTAAAAGATGCATTGCCATGCCCTGCACAGTATTCCCTTTGCCTGGAACACACTCAGGCCACCATTCTTACTTTATGAAGCAGTTCAAGAACTCCTCTTTCATACTGTCTTCTTTTGTGCTGTTGTGACTGCTTCAGCGTTCTGAATCGATTAAAAGTATTTATCTTTCATGGTCATTTTGACTTTGGGGAAGAGCCAGAAGTTACCCAGTGCCAGATCCAGTGAATGAGGTGGTTGAGGATACGCCATAATGTATTTTGTACAAGCCTGCCTTTCTGTTGGATGGAGCTTGCCAATAGCTTTCACCGTATTTATTTTAATCACGCGTTGTAAAGACATTCCCAACAGAGGACTTTCAAAACTGCTTCAGAGAATGGTAAAATGATGGAATAAGCGTTTCCAAAGCGAGGTGGAATATTTTGAAGGGGATTAATGGTAATCTACCTTTTACTGTAATATTTTCTTAAAATTTAAACATTCACCTTGTAACTCCATCAGACCCTGTCCACTTGTAATTTTAGAAATGATACAGAAAAATGAAAAGTGCATCAAATCCCAGGCAAATTACAAAACAGAAGTCACAATTTTGTTTGGTAATCATCTAATGAAGGAAGGAATTTAGCACATTGTAACAATTGCACATTTTCCTCCCAGTTAGAAGATAAAGATCAAGGAAAATTACTAACATTTTGGTTGTGTCATCTAGGGGAGAGAACTACATTAGGACATTCAAGGAAGTTGTGCCACCACAGATATTTCATCTATGCCACTGTATGCCGCCTTTCTTCACCTTACTAATTTTTCATCCAAGGAGCCAGATGTTCTGATGAAATAATGCATGTAAACATGACTGATGTGAACCAAGAGGCATTTGTCCATCCATTGTTTAATCATCAAATATTTGTTGCCTACTATGTTCTTGGCATGTTTATGTGCATTCTACAGGGACATGACAAAGTCTGTACCATCACAGAAACTGCACTGTAATAAGGAGGGCAGGTTATTCATGTCAACAAATTAATTGGATCAGTTTCTCAACCCTTGGCACTATTGAAATTTTGGATCAGACAGTTCCTTGTTGTGGGAATGGTTGACCTCTGTACCATTTGGCCTTTATTTGCTGGACGCCAGCAACGCTCCCACCAATACCAGTTTTAACTACTATAAAAATATCTCCAGACATTGTTAAATGTTCCCCTATGGTGCATAATTGCCCTTCCTTGAAAACTGCTGAATTAGTTGATTTATCTGGGAGAGAAATGAGAAAAACTCACTCATGTTAAAGCTAAGGTTAAGAAGATCAAAGATGATATTGGCTGTTAAATGTTCTTATCACTTCTGTAATGGACAGTGTCACTTGGGGTTACTCATCATCCATTGCCCTGTTCTTGGTAATAGCTTTATACAAATGTGGACTCCACTGGTACAGAGTATTTTGTAAGAATAAAAGTATATTTCCACCAGGTGGCACAATTCATAGTTTTAATGACTCAGAATATAAAAGCACTACCTGGTTTGTTTGTTTGTTTGTTTTTTCAGCTCCTTTGAAAGAAATAGGGGTATGGTGTTGAGTAGAGTAATTCAGCCTGTGTTTCAAAAGGTAATTGCACTCCTACCTAGTACTAGGGGCTGGAGCAGTAGAAGGAACTCAGGACAGTCCCTTGCATTACCTTATATTAGAGCGCTGAGGATTTAGCTCAGGGGCACAGCGCCTGCCTGACAAGCACAAGGTTGTGAGTTCCCTTCCCGGTACTGGAAAAAAGAAAAAAAGACTCTTGTTACCTTATATTAGAGAAATGGCTGATGGAAATCTTGTAATGTCATCTAGGCAGCACCACTAGGGAGGGACTTGATCTCCTTATCTTAGTGGACAAAGAAAATATTTCAATATATGTACTAATTAATTTCATTTATACTACTGTTGATCTTACGTCATTGAAAAGAAAGATTTATGTTATCCATATTCTTTTTTGCAAGAATCTTTTTGGTTTATGTCTTGTACGCTGAGTAACTACTTTGAAGATAACTATCATTATTCTTTTATTATTTGATTATGAAACTGTAGTCGTATTTTTTCATAAAAAAAAGAAGTACAAAGAAACCCCTCTAGCTCAGATGCTGGTTGAAAGCAAGAGGGAGATAGAAATAAGGTGTGTTTGTATAATTTCTGTGTTTTCTTTTGCCATTGATTTCTAGTTTCATTGTACTGTGATCTGATAATTTGCATAGGATAATTTTGATTCTTTTGTGTTTATTTAAGTGTGCTGTATATGCTAGTATATAGCCTATATTATATGTGCTGCCAAAGCAAGCACAGTATATGGCCTATATTAGAGAAAGTTCCATGTACTGCTGAGAAGAATGTGTGTTCTGTTGCTGCTGGGTGGGACCCTGTAAGTAGCTATTAAGTCATACTTTTTTGTGTTGTTGGCTTCATTGTCCCAAGGATATCCTTGAAAAATTTTTGAAGGGCTGGTTTGGTGGTCATGAATTTCTTAAGGTGCTCTTTGTCACAAAAACATTATTTCTCCATCAACTTTGAGAAATAGTTTTATGTGATGTATTAGTCTGGGTTGAAAGTTGTTTTCTTTTAGGGCTGAAAAACACTTGACTCCAAGCTATCGTAGTCTCTAAGCTTTGTATTGAGAAGTCTGCTGTAATTCTAATGGGCTTACTTTCATAAATTATTTGTTGCTTTTCTCTAACAGCCTTTTTTGTTTTTTCTTTGAAAAGCTTTTTATTGCTACATGTTTGCAGTATATAATGCAATTTCAATTGAATTATTCATTCAATTCACATTCAATTTGTGAAGAGTTGATACATGTACATAATACAACTTAATTCTTTTCACAGCTCATTCCTTTCCCCTCCAGCCACCCATTTATTTTTTCTCCTATTAGCCAACACCTTTTAAGATTTTGTCTTTGTGTTGGACTTCTGGGATTTTGACTTTGATATGTTGTGAAGATGTTCTTTTCTGATCAAGGTTACTTGGGGTTCTATATGCCTTGCTTATATGCATATGAAGTTCTTTCCCCATATTTGGAAAGTTTTCTGCTATTATTTCTGTAAAAAGGTTTTTTATACCATTTTTGCTGTTTTCTGATTTTCCACTAATTGCAGTTAATCTTAGATTAGTCTTCTTTGCATCATCTAGCAGGCGTTGGATCCTTTTCCTTCAACTCATTATTTTTAAGGTATCTCTGAGTATACAATCATTTCTACCAGCCCTGTCTTCCAGTTCTGACACTTGCTCCTCATAGTGGTCATTTCCATTGTCAATAATTTCGATAGAAGTTCTTATCTCCAGATTTCTGTTTGGTACATTTTCATGGATTCTAATTTGCTAAACTGGTCATTCATGTTTTGTATCATTTTATTAAGCTCAGCTAGCTTTTAATTAGTGTCTTCTGTAAGCTCACTGATCATTTTATTTATTAAGCCCATTATCTGTTTAGTTATATCATCTTTGAGTTTGCTGAGCACCTTATTGATTTTTTCTCTTATCATTTTGTATAATTCAGCCATTTGACTTGATTTCCTTCCCTTTAAAGTCATATGGATCAGTTTGGGGAGAGCTGGGGCTTTTGGGAGGCATTTTACTGTCTTGTTTGCTCATGTTTCTGTACTCTGTGTGTGTGTGTGTGTGTGTGTGTGTGTGTGTGTATCCTAATGTGTACATACTGAGTGTTTAGCATCAATTATGGTGGAAAGACTTTGCTGTTAGTGTGGAGATTTCATTAGCTGAGGTCTACTTCCCAGTCATGTCCTTTGGATATGGCTAACTATGGACCTTTGACTTTGTTTAAAGATCTGACCACCTCCATTAATTTGGGGACCTGAGGGTGCAGTGTAATTGGCACAGCACCCAGTTAGCCAGAAATTAAATCCAGTATTGTTGATGACACAAAGACATACAGTCAAAACTAATTAATACTAATGACTACATCACTTTCACAACAGCAATGAAATCAGCATCAATAGCAGAGTAAAAAATAAAGTGGTTATAAGAACCAATAAAAGCTACCACTGTGCTACATGTAACAGTATAAAAGGGATCTTCAGTAATCACATAGCCACAAAGCAAAAACAAATATTGACCTACAGCAAGTATCTACTAAATGCAACAATTATACCATCATTAACAATAGAGAAAAATTCAACAATAGTAGCAAAGAGTCAACTAAATATCCCAACATTACTAAAACTTGATAGTAATGTTTGTAAAAATGAAGGGGAAAATGAAAGAAGTGACATTTGAAAAATAAAAAAAAGAAAAATGAGAAGTAGGAGGGAAAAGTGAGACAAAGGATTCTATTAAAAAGTAAACTAAAATTAATAAAATTAGATAAAAGTAAGAGAAAAGAACAAAGAAGAAAAAAGAAAAAACAGAGAAAAAAGGAAAGAAAAGAGAAGAAAGGAAAGGAAAAGACAAACCTCAAGACTCAAAAAAGAAAGAAAAAGAAAGGAAAATGATTTCCCCCAAATTCCTCCATATTTCTTTTTTTTTTTCCTCCATATTTCTAAATGAGTGTTTTCCAGAGTCTGCAGTATTTGGAATCCATT